AGAGAGAGAGAGAGAGAGAGAGGGAGAGAGAGAGAGAGAGAGCAAGCGCGTAGCACGTGGCTTGATTGCTTTAACGACCGTTTGTACGCGCGCGCGTTCGTTCACGCACGCTGCGCCTCACGAAAGCCTGGTCGCTTAATAATCGTCCTCGATGAATAATCACGGTTTTCGGCGCATCGATAATCGGACCACGCATAATTCGGTGGAAATTTTCTCCGGATGTAAGTCTCGCGCTTCCCCTCGCGTCACGGATTCGAGAAAAAAGAATCGAAGAATTCCCTTCTCGACGATGAACATCTGTCTTGATCTAAATTTTTCCAATTTTCACGAGATTACCATCGTCGCGATCGATATTGCGAGGGATTATCCGGTCTTGTCGATCGAACGCGCGTACGATTATTAGAGTAGACGCGCGGCGGTGGTCGTGGCGGGGGATGGGCGAATCCGGGGATATCAGAACGGCCAGATCTATAAATACTGTACTATAAATCTCGCGGTACACCGAGGCTAGTAATAATTAGGAGGAAGGAGAAGACAAAGGTGGGAATAATTCTATCGGCAGAACACGGAGGGAAGCTCGTAAATTCCCGAGCGGGAAAGGGAGCAAGCGTGTGTTACGAGAATCTTGCCGCTCCTCTGGAAACTCTCCGAACGTGTTTTCTCCGCGTCGTGTCCTCTCTTCCCTAAAGAAGGAATCGCGTTAATTATAATGGCAGCGTGTAAAACCGACGTTTATTCTGGTCGTCTGAACGTTTTCCACCAACCAAAAGAAGATCGGAGAAGACGGATGAGGGAGAGGGAGAGGGAGAAGGAGGGGGGAGGGGGAGAGAGGAAGGAGAAATGAGCACTCCGTGAGCATGAAAGAAGGTGCTAAACGGGTAGGACCGAGAGAAACGGGACAGGAGAATGGCGACCATAACGTAATTTTGACAGAAATAACGCCGCCGTGCCCGCTGAGAGACAATAAGTTCGCGACACTCTCTCGCAGGGGAGCTTAGAATAGTTTAGTGTCCGCCCGTCTCTTCCTCGCTCTCGGATTATCCCTCTCTGTCCTCTCTGTGCTCCACCTTCGACCGCGACTTTCATCCGCTCGCTTTTGCCTGACCCTCTTGGCGCCACGATTTTCATGGTTGCGACCGGATTGATGATTACCACCGCCGTTATAGTTTAAGTTTAAGTAGCCCTCTTCTTCCGCCTAAAAAACTTTCTCTTTCGAACCGTGACGATTTCGAGGAAATTTTAAAAAGTAAATATATCCTTCCTTTCCATTTCTCCTCTCCTTTGCTGGAGAGATAGAGATCGGAATAAAAAGAAAAAGAAAAAGAAGGAAAAAAGAGATGGAAAGGATGGAAAGAAAAGAAAATCGAGGAAAGAAGGGGAATTTCTTCAAGGATCGATGGAACTTTTATTATCTCGATCTCGATCTCGATGCGGAAGATTACCTTGGTAATCCTTGCTCGAGGTATTTCGAAAAAATATTGGCGTTCAACGTCAAAATATATTCTCGGTGTTCCGCATCATTCCTCCCCAAAGGTCCGTGAAATCAACGAAACGTCTCTATTCTGCCTCGTTAAATCGCATCTGGCCGCTTACTTTTTTTACGAAGCCGTTTTTCCGGAAACAATGTTGTGACGAGGGCCGTCGAAAAAGGGGTAAAGAGGCAGAGGAGAGGGGTGGGATTTGCCCGTTGAGATTTTTTTTGTCGATATTTAGGCGAGAGAGAGAGAGAGAGAGCAAAAGGAAGGTAAAGATTCAACCCTTCGCGACGCAGAACTACGATCACCGCTTTATCCAAACACGCGATTTTTTTTTTTTGTAGAGAGTTAAATTCATTCTTGCCCCCCTCTCTTCTCGTTATTCTTTGAATTAAAAATGCACGATTTATCAAAGGTACTTTGTCATAAAAAAAAAAAGAAAAAAAAGAAAGAGCAAAAAATAGAATTTATTCATTGAATCAAATTTGAAAGCATCGAAACATTTGCGTGGAGATCGTGCTCGGTCGAGGATTTTCGGTAGCCGTGGACGGAGAGATCACGTATAAAGGGTTATTCAGCTTAAGGCTGCACGGATTAAATGTTAAAAAAAAGAGAAGAGAGAGAGAGAGAGTCGCTGAAATACGGGGGCCTCCTTTTCAGGATCGGGCTTTTTGAAAATTTTAAACTCTCCCCGATCGGGGCCCCGAGGTTTTTCATCCACAGCCGGATCGGCCTCTCCCCTCCAGCCTGCGCGAGTTTCGAGAACCACGAATAAAAGGGTTCAGCCGCTCTCTTCTCAAAGCCGCTGGATATTCGTGCATTGGGGTAGGAAAAGGGGGGTCGGCCCGTAGATTTCTCGTATTTTTTAAGATTTGCTTCTTAAATCCTGTCACGTCCCTCTCGTATTCTTCGTTTTCGATTATATACACACGGCCCCCCCCCCTCCCGTTCCTTCCGAAACAGCTGACACTCGATCATATCGCTCTTTATTAACTTTTTCATACGGTTCGTTCGTTAATTCTCGACCGAATTCTTTTTCTTTTCCTCGTGTTTCTGTCGATGAAAGCGATGAACGAAGATGAATTTCTTTCTTTCTTTCTTTCTTTCTTTCTTTCTTTCTTTTCTTTTCTTTTTTCTTTTTGCTTTTTTTCGTCGAAAGAGAAGACGATTACATTCGCGTGGAATGTACATCCAAGGCCAGGTTCCTTTCGACGGTGGCACCGACGGTTGTTTTGGCACGCTTCCTGCGACGCGGCCCGCATAATTAGTCGTCAACGAAATGTCCAACACCTTGCCGAATAGAAGAAGAAAGAAGGATTCGATTGGATTTTGAATACCGTCGATTCGTTTAAACGCTCGTTCAACGCTCGACCCTCGGAAGGGAGGGGGAGGGGGAGGAGGAGGAGGAGGAGAAGGAGGAGAAACCTTAACCCGCTTAATTATATCCGCCTCCTCCTCGCGCGTAACACGCTGGCCGTAAATTCACGCGAATAAGAGTTTCCTCGACGAGGCCGGCCGAGAAGGTGCTCTAACGAGCTACACAAAACACGCAGCTGCGTTACATAATTACTGCAGCGGAGGATAGATTAACAGTCATAACCGAATGTTACGCAACAATATGCATCAGCAGCTATCCCGATTCGGCTAAACTGGATAATTAATTCAAGCGTCCAGAGCGAAAATGGAAATTTCGTGATATTCGAGCGAATAACATTGCCGTCTCGATCATGGAAATGTTGTTCCGATCCTCGAGGATGACGATAATCGTGTCCCGTGGATTTTAGATTGCACGATTTCGATCTGATACGCCGCGTCTTCTCTCCGATTTGATTCGAAGAGGAATGGGATATATAGATTCGGAAGCTTGCGGGTATATATACCTCGGGAGGAGGAGAATATAATACCGAGGCATAATGGTTTCGCCTCTCTCCCTCGCAACCTTTACCATTTCGTCTGTTTTTCTCGTTGTTCCTTTTTCTTTCGTTTCCCTCCTCGTAACCCTTCTTCTCTTTCGCGTACACACGTGCGCATAAAACTCGGCTGGTACCTATCCCCACCAAACACGGCCGAAAGGGGGGGGAACCCCTAAGAGAAATATTCGACAATTTTTAAACTCGTTTCTGAACGCATTCAAACGTGCACAGTCGACAAGTAGGAATTTCTTGGAATCAACCGAGAGAGAGAGAGCCTTTTTGGTTAGGGCACGGCGAGCGTGGTTTCCGGCTGCCGGAGGTGGGGCCTCCGCCATATATTCTCCCCTTTGGTTATATATTTCGCGGCCTCTATTCGCCAAATTCTGTGGAAGAGGAGTGCGTTATTGTCACTTGAACGCGGTACGAACGCGTGTTGGAATCGCGTAAAGATTCGGATCGGATAAACATTGATAAACATTGAAAAATGAATCTAATCGTGTAGTTAATTTTTGTACATGGAGTGTGTATATATACATATATATTTCGAAGAAGACGACGAAAACGTCGACACATGTTCGAAGTGGATCGATTTGTTGTTGAATCGAAAGAATCGAGAACGAAAAAATCGAGAAGGGAAAAATTTGATGCAACCTACCCTCCTGTATCATTCGACGTATACCCTTTGTAGTGTGGTCCGCGTCCAACTCGAGTCGTGGTCATCCTCGACGCGATTCATGCGAGATCGCAGATTTCTGTATTCTGAGGATACGGAAAGCATAGAAAAAGAAAAAAAAAAAAAAACCTAACTACAGTGAAGCAGTGTAGAGAAAGAAAGAGATCAATTCGTTCGTATTTCTTCGTTAGAACTTTCGTAGATAGATTTCTACTTTTCACCGTAGATAAAGCGGTTGGTAAGAGTAGAGCGAGCTCTCTTCTCTTGGCTTGCAGAACGCTTCCTTACCAACCTGGATCCTTCGTTAACGGCAGAGGCCGAGCACCATTCAGTGTCGAATCTATCGACTGTCGAAAAGATCAGGGAATTATTATTTTACCAGGGGAAAATAAAAAAAAGAGAAAAGCTTTTCTTTTCTTTTCTTTAAAAAAGAAAACGTTGGACATCACGTTCGATCCCCCATTCATTCACGATAGCCGTTACATAGGCTAAATCCCCCAAGAGTAATCCTCACCTCTTCTCTTTGGTTTCTGATTTCAGCATTATTGAGACAAAGCATGTCTCCGGTTGCGGACACCTTGATCGGTAGCTCGAAAAGCTCCGTGTCACAACCAATAATCGATTACTCCCGATACGTGAGGCGGTACACGTCGGGTCAAGAATGCGGTAGCTCGTATTGTAAGGAGCTCGGTTGCCGAGAGCATTTTCACTGTCTGGATTGCAGTGGTAGGGTCTTTGTGAAAAAGGAGGAAATGATCAGGCATTTCAAGTGGCACAAAAAGAGGGACGAATCTTTGCAGCACGGCTTCATGAGGTATTCGCCGACGGATGATTGCTCGGAGAGACATCCGGGCCGTGCCTGCCCCCACAATAGAAAACAGACGCACTACCACTGTATCCACGAGAATTGCGATAAAGTTTACATATCGACGTCGGACGTGCAGATGCACGCCAATTACCATCGCAAGGATTCGGCTATCATACAAGAGGGTTTCCAGAGATTTCGAGCTACCGAGAGCTGTGCTACCGATCACTGTCCCTTCGTTGGCCAGCGGACCACGCACTTCCATTGTCGGCGACCAGGTTGCCGGTTCACCTTCAAGAACAAGGCTGACATGGGTAAAGAACTACTCGCAGTTCTGCCTCTTAGAAATTATATAGAGTCTCCTCTCTTTCCTAGATTACTCGTTACATTATTGCCACTGTGTTACCGTGGCAATATATATATATATGTGTGTATATATTAGCGATTTCTGTTTGCTTGCCGATCATCATCACATACACATCTCTGGTTAAAAAATATATACGAGACAAAAGACTTAGATCTAGTTTCTCTCTTCCCCCCCTTTGAGCAGGTTCGCCCCTAATACGCCCCTCTCGTGATTTTCTTCTTACAGACAAGCACAAATCGTACCACATCAAGGACGAGCAATTGTCCCGCGATGGGTTCAAGAAATTCATGAAGTCCGAGGCGTGTCCCTTCGAGCAATGCCGTTTCTCGCGCGTGTGCAATCACATACACTGCATACGACCGCACTGTAGCTACGTTCTTCACTCGTCGGGCCAATTGTTCTCCCATAAACGAAAACACGAGCGGCACGAGACCGAGTTGGCGTACAGAAAGTACAAGCAGATCAACGCGGTCGGCGGTATCCGGCCGCCAGGCTCCTGGCCGCCCGACGATCTCACCACGCAAAGTCTCTCCCTCAGCTTGAACGGCGAAAGTTCGAACGAGGACAGGGGCTCCCCCTCCTACTATTCCCTCGACGATTCGTTTCAAAGCGGTAGCGATCTAGCGATAGATCTCACCGCGCCAACGACCACGGTCACCGCCGGTGGAAGTTCCACGGCGGTGACCATCGACCAACAACAGCAGCAACAACAGCAACAGAGTCAACAACAGCTTACCGCCATGGAATTGGCGTACCTGGTACCAGGTACGGCCGATTGCCCCTGCCATCTGGGCAGGGAACATCATCATTGCGGGTTGGACCGTTGCGGGGCACCTCTCAAGGATCCTCGCGAGGTGAGGGAACACTTGAAGGAGCACGAGACCCAGGAACGCATCACGGACGCGTTCTTCGAGGAGGGTGGATGCGACGACAGTTGCCCGTACGCCGACAAGGAGAAGCATTATCACTGCAACTGGGAGAATTGCCGGGAGGTGATCCTCTCCACGGACAAACCGTTCCGTCGGCTTCAACATTACAAGATCCACGAGTACAGCCGGCAATTGAACCTCTCCTGCTCGTCTCACGCGTTGTCCTCGGACGTGACGTTGACCCATCTGACCAACATCGACGCCATGTTCAGGCGGAAGAGGGGCAGGCCACCGAAGAACAGAGTGATCGAGATCTGGTCGGGTGGCGACCCGGCCACGCACACCCACGACTCCCCCCAGGCGATATTCACGAGTTTCAAGCTACCGAAACCCCAAACCCCTAGTCTCACGTCGAATCCTATGGCCGAGGATCGGGAGGGGAGCGTGTCGCCCTCGAACAGCCTCGGCGAGCCCGAAGGATTCTCCACCTATAATCCTGACGGATGTCCGGATCCGGCTTGCGTGTTGAGATCGACCAGACACCATCATTGCTCCCAGCTTAGGTGCCACTTCTCCACCGACAGGCCCGACCAATTACTGATGCACAGCAAAGACTTCCACGATAACGTCGACATACCGCCCGGCTTCGCCTTCTTCGATAAGATGGTAGATTGCCGGCTGGTCGGTTGTCACAGTAATCGCGTTAATCGCCATTTCCATTGCACCAGGCCGAACTGCGGCTACTCGTTCGTCAGATACTCGACCATGGCGATGCACGAGAAACAGCACTGCAATAGCCACGGCCCGGTTAGCGACAGCCGGTCGAGCGAATCCTCGTCCAACCAAGAGTGTCAGACCCATGCTCAACCGATGGTCCAGGATTCAACGAAGCCTAGGATCCAAGTGAAGAATCCGGCCGAGCTGATCGAAAAACCGGAGGAGTGTATGGCGAGCGGTGGTGGTGGTGGTGGTGGTGGTGTTGGTGGTGGTAGTGGTGGTGGTGTTGGTGGTGATATCGAGAATAGATCGATGATGGACGAGAAGGAATCGGAGATTCCGAGCCCGGATGTCAACAAGACGACCGGTAAGTTTAATTTTCGACGTGGACACGAACCAGTGCACCTGTTGTATAGTATTGTTTTATAGACGAGTTTTGTTTGGTAGTTATTTGAGATGTTGAGATCGAGAAGACAATTGTCGAGTCGATGCATGTCTCTTTTGCACGTACGCGCGCACACCTCATGTGTATATTATACAACTCACGTCGGCACCTTCTTAATCCTTTCGATTTCTTGTTATTCGCAATTTATTCGCGAATTACTTGTTCTTCGATCTTTCCGTCGAAAGGATTAAAAAAAAAAAAAAAAAAAAAAAAAAANAANAANAAAAAAANANANAATATTATTATTATTATTATTATTATTATTATTA